GTCCCTGGGGCAGTGCTGGCTCTTCCAGCCTCCAGCTGCTGCTCTTGGTACCCTGAACTGACCTCCTGGGTCTCTCCTGAGCACGAGAGTTCCTTTCCTGAGGTGCAGTTCCTTGTCCAGCTTATCTCAGGCTGCACAGAGCATTTGGTGCATGGCCACAGTTCTGTTCCGGGTGTGTCCACACAAACATTGTCATTCCAATTAGAAAGCAACCTTAGAGAGGAAAGCAATTGTGAAGAATAGTAAAAGATGGTCATGAGTATGATAACATTTACTAGATGATGGAAATTTCTAGAAGTAATCCTGGGAGCTGGCTGAAGAACCTCACTTGTCTCGTGTTCCTTGTCCCTCCTGTGCCTCTCTTTCCAGATAATAGTAGATGATGATGACAGTAAAGTCTGGTCACTGTATGATGCAGGACCGAGGAGCATTCGCTGCCCACTCATATTTCTCCCTCCTGTAAGTGGAACTGCAGATGTGTTTTTCCAGCAAATTTTGGCACTGACTGGATGGGGCTACAGAGTTATTGCTGTGAGTATCCTCAGTCCTGTGTTGGAGTTGGTGTGCTCGTGCTTGTTGCTCTGATCAGAACTTGGATAATGAACTCCTAGTTTTGACTAAGGGAATCCACCAAAAACTTGCTGCTAAGTTGCGCTCTGGAGTAGGTAGGGTGTGGATCCAGGCTGGAATCTGCTGTGTGTTCACAGCAGCATTTACCCAAAACCTTGTGCATGCACACAATTAACTTCTCGGCGTTTTTTCCCCCCTGTGTGTCCTGGACACGAGTCATTTTTGCCTCCAGCTGAATCTTTGTTAGCCCTGAGGCAAACACAGGAGTTGAGGGTTTCCATGTTTTCCTTGAGGATGGTGGATAATGAGGTTCTTAGCCCATATAATACCTGCAAATGCAATGTCACTCCTTCAAACCCAGCCTGCTTTTCTGTGGCTTCTCAGCTCCTGAGCTGAACTGAAATGGTTGATTCGCACCACATTAAACAACCTGGTTTTAGGAGCCCTGCTGTGTCTCTCGCAGCAGTTAATGATTTCTGTAGCTGTTAAACGCTACAAAATTATTGAAGAACAGTTACAGCCTCCCCTCCCACTGACTACGGGATGTGGCAATGCTGCACTTTCCCCAGCAAAGTTGCTCTGCAGCACTGTGTGTGTTTTTGTGTAAGAGAGGGGGAGGTGTTTGCACCCTTGGGCTGTGGGGACCTTGCTGAGGAGCCTCACCCTGCGAGAGAGGCAGGTTGATGTCCTGAAACCTTTAATGTGAGAACTGGTATGACTTGGAAGCAGGTTGATCTGAGAGCAGCTTTTCCTAACTTTGTGTTATTTTAGTTGCAGTATCCAGTGTACTGGGATCACCTCGAGTTCTGTGATGGATTCAGGAAACTGTTAGATCACCTTCAGCTGGATAAAGTGAGTGCCTGGAGATGGGAAAGTGGATGGATCCTTGCAGTAATAAAACTGATATGTGAAAGTCTTGTTTAATAGCCAGTGTGTAAAATAGGACACAAAAATGCAGGCTATAAACAAAGAGGGTGCTTTGTATTGCCATTTCACATTTGAAACTAGTTTATTTTTGAAGGTGAATACTCTTGGAAATTGTAACACTTGGCCTTAATTCAGCTGCTACTCTATGCTTATTAAATTGTATGGGTTGACTTCAGTTTTTCATGAGATCCCATGGAAGTTATCATTCCTGACTCACATAGTACAGAACAGCACAATCAAGTTCCTTGGACTGGAATAGCTGTGGAGAACAAAGTGAAATAAATGTTCGGGGGTTTTTCTTAAGCTTGATGAACACAAAGAAATCTGCACTGTGATTCCGTGTGGAACATTTCCTTCTGTCAGTATTTATCACATTTATGTCACTCTTAAAAACAGAAGATTAATGGAATAGTGATTCTTTCAGAAAAATGGGTTATGGGGACAGGGTAAACTTGAACGACCTACTTTTGTAATCAAACATTGTGGCTCAGAGGTCACATTTCACAAGTGTAACGTCATCTGTTTGGTTTTTTTCCTTGAATTAGGTTCACCTTTTTGGAGCTTCTCTGGGAGGCTTTCTGGCTCAAAAATTTGCTGAATACACACACAAATCTCCCAGAGTTCAGTCTCTGATCTTGTGTAATGCCTTTAGTGACACTTCTATCTTCAATCAGACATGGACAGCAAACAGGTAAGGAAGACTGGGACAAGCAAGCAGACTTATGGCATTGTTTTGCAATGAAATGTCCCACTGATTGGGTTGGACATGTGTCTAACCTGATTCATCCTGGGTAAGGGAGGTATAGGATGGAATACTCATGACTTTTAAAGGCATACCACAAGGGGAGTGGAAATTTTGACAGCTGAGATTGTGGAATTAGACAAGTTGTTCTGTGATCCTCTGTGGATGTGTGGTCAGATTTAAAAACTCTGCCTGTTTTCTAACAAAAGAAATTTAGAGCAAGACAAGTGTTGCTCAGCATGTTTAAAATACTCTCTTGCCATGTAAGATTAAAAGCTTCCCAGAACATTTCAAGCACCAAGCTGCCATGTTTTCCATCTTTCTGCTCTTAAAGCTTTTTCAGGATTTCATTTGAAGTTGAGGCACAAAGTCTGTGCAAGGAAAGGGAGTGTTTATAGCAAACATCTCACTGCTGGAGTCCTCGGTGACTGAAGATTGTTACATCTTGTTTCTGTTCTAGCTTTTGGCTGATGCCTGCTTTTATGCTGAAAAAAATTGTCCTTGGGAACTTTGCATCTGGTCCTCTAGATCCCGAGATGGCAGATGGGATTGATTTCATGGTGGACAGGGTAGGTATCCCTGTGCTCTAATGGCTGTGATGTCACTCCCTGTAGATTGACTGAGCAGGAGGGTGAAGGGATTTCTGTGCTTTCTTCTTTCCCTGGTCCAGGAGGGAGGAATGGATCTTTAGCAGGTGCTGACTGTCACAGCCCCAGCAGTTTAACTGGTGTGGTGACTTTACCTTAGTTCTGTTTATTTATGTAGATCAAGAGAGAGGAAGTTAAGGAACTAAGATGGAAGAGGAGAAAGTACTGGGATATATCTGTAGGCCATTCCCTGGGGGTAGGAGCAACTAATGGAACGTGCTCTAAATGTTTGTCTCATGCAGAGTAATACTGAGTTGGAATTATTACCTTCATCCCTTTAAAACTATCTTCTCTCTGGCTTTATTGTTCATATTACTTTCACTTCCTGCAGTGAAATATGTTATTAAATCAGTGTTTCTCTCTCCTGCAAGCTGGAGAGCCTGGGGCAGAGCGAGCTTGCCTCAAGACTCACCCTCAACTGCCAGAACTCCTACGTAGAACCTCACAAAATCCGAGACATCCCTGTAACCATTATGGATGTAAGTTCAGCTCGACTTAGTTCTTTTCCTAAGCAGCGTTTCTTCCCCTTGGCAGATGGGCTTGATATTCCATTAGCAACTTAGTAAGCATTTGCAGCACGTAACTTTGTATTTAGGGAAGCCTTGTGCTGACTGGGCAACACTGTGACTCTTCTGCGCTACACCGAGTTGGATGTTCCCTGCAGTAACTTGGCCATAGGTTCCAGTATCACAGCCTTGGCTTTCTAGATGTCAGTGCCCAGCAAGTTTGCTTGTTTTCATTTCATTCCACTGTTCCACAAAGAAGCTGAGAGTCACTTCTAGCAGCAGCACAGAGCCAGTCTGATGTTAACAAGAGCTGAGATTCAGAGCTGACTGCTGGGACTTGTTCCGTAGGTGTTCGACCAAAGCGCGCTTTCGACGGAAGCGAAAGAAGAAATGTATAAACTTTACCCCAACGCCAGGAGAGCTCACCTCAAAACAGGAGGCAACTTCCCCTATCTGTGCAGGAGTGCCGAGGTCAACCTGTATATTCAGGTGAGTCTCTAAAGTCAAACTCAATCTACAAACATGTTTAGCCACAAGAGCAGCAGGAAACTCCTGCTCTGTGCTTGCTTTTGTTTCTTGACTTCCCCGAGCTCTGTGTGCTCGGAGATCTCTGATAGCAAAGGGCAGGGCTGGAGCAGCCACATGCATGGAGGGACAGCTTTTGGGGGTTTTCTGTTGTGCTCCAGAGCCATGGTTTCATCCTCACAAAAATTACTTGGGAGGACTGTTTCTCTTTTACCGAACCAGTGTGTTTCTACAGCTGTTTCCGTGTCACTTCCCGTGTCCCACAGATCCACTTGCTGCAGTTCCACGGTACCCGGTACGCAGCCATCGACCCCTCCATGGTCAGCGCAGAGGAGCTGGAAGTCCAGAAGATCAGTCTTCACACCAGCAACGAGCAAGAAGAGCAGCAGTAGGCTTGGGAGTGCCAGTGAGATGGAGGCATCGCTTTGGTGGTCTTCCTGTGTACAATCAACTGTTCCCACTCTGCCTTTTCCCTTGTGTTAGCCGATTATCACTGTGTGATTCCTACAGGATCAGCAGTCAGTGAACTACCCACGGACAGAAACCTCCAGCAGTGTAATGGGATAGATCTCTTTAATTTTTAGTCTTTGGATTCAAGGAAGCATCTTTGAAGACTACACTTTTAAACAATAAAGACATTTTTTTCTACCAAAGTCTTCACTCTCATGTTCTTAAGCAGAACAGTATATTTCTTTTTATATTTTTCACTTGGCTGTATATATTACCACATGCAGATTGTGTACTTATAAGCTGACATATATTTTTGTTGAATGTTTGATTTAAAAGATGTTTAAGTGACCATATTCCCATCACTTATTTGCTTCTTACATTGTGCTGTAACTTAGTTTGTTTCTATTTGAAATAAAGCATTTGACTTTTTAACTTTCTTGCAGCTTAAAAATGGTTTTCAATAAGACTTCACTTTCAGCAAGTGTCTCTTGTTTTGACTCCAAGAGAACAACAGTGGAGTTCACTACAGTCCTGCTTTGCCTCTAGAGCCACCTCTGGAAATGAAGAAAACCAGCACCTTCTGATTGAATTCCCCTGAAGCTTTAATTATAAGGTTGTACTTGTTTAGCTCTAAGTAAGAATGTTTGAGTGTTTTTGAAATAAAGATGACAAGATATAACTTTCTAATTTGAAGGTACAATCTAGATTTATTGAAATGCATACTTTATTTTCCCCTTGAAATGCTGTAAAAAAAGAAGCATGAAGCATTACTTGACAAATTGGTATTCAAGGAAACTATCTGTCCTTGCCAGAGGTTGTGTAAATAACTAATCCCATGAAAGATACAGTCTGAAAAGAGAAGGGGGGTCATTAATCACCAAATTGATTTAAAAACAGTATGTGTATGTTAATGTGAATTTATAAACACTATATATGTTAATGTTCTTCTCAGAAACTTTTTTTGCGAAGAGGCAAAGCATTCAAAATCTCAGCCCCTAAAGTTCCAAAAGGACCAAATGGTATCTTTGATTTTGCTTCTTCAATTCCCACCATAAGAGGGAAGTTACAGACGAGTCTAAGACACAAGTGACAGACACCCCCCACTATGGTAAGTAAAGAACACTCCTGAAAACAAAGGCTTTACCCTCATTAACTTAAAAAAACTGACAATGAAAAATGTATATACAAACAGGTGCTGTAAACAAGGTACAGTAAAACAGTGTAACATTTCCTGATGCAGTGTGACAAGTGAGGCTTGCTCACTGAGCTCCCTTTACAGTACCCAGACCATAGGAAACTGCTGATAAAAATCTCCCTTCTGTGTAAAGAGCCATTTCTGACCAGGAGCATTTGTTTTACCCTTGTCATTCCAGAGCCAGAAGGGTGCAGCAGTGCCAGCTGTTTCTCACAAGAAGCCCTTGAGTTGCAGCTGCCTTTGAGCAGCAGCAGAGAAGTGTTTCTCCTGTAGCTGAGAGACCAGCAGAGGCTGCTGGCGCTGTCACATCGCCGTGCACTTCCGTGGAGAGGTGGAGTCTGCGTTGGCTTTTTTCCGGATACTTTCTGAAAGAGAGAATGTTCTGCTGCAGGAAGTTTGGAGCCACGGCAGGATGTGCTCACTTATCAAAACGAAGAGGAAAGAAGTGACACGTAATGGAAGCAAGGGGGCAGGGCAGGTGCTTTCAGCTTGTATGAGCTGGCTTCACTGAAGTTTTCCTCTGTGTGTGTTGTGTAACCACAGAGTTCAGATAAATTGATGTAAATAATGCTGAGTGAAGGAAAAGTCTCACCTGCTAAATCTCTTCTTCCAATCCCCACCAGGCCTTCGTACAGCCCCTTGATTGGATTTTCTCCTGCAGTATTCACACCGTGGAGCCAGATCAGCAACATCCTGTGGCCGTGTTCCCTGTAGCTTTTAGTGCCTGGCAAGATCAAACCACAGATGAAATCCCACCCTCGGAGTGCACGGCCCTGACCAGAGCAGATTTCTGAACTGGTGGGTCTGGCCACCCCTGCCTCTGGATTTTACTAGGAGGCTCCAGAGTATGGTTTAGCTAATTTCCTGATTTTGGTGGATTGCTGGATTCATGTGAAACTTAACGGAGTGGCCCTGGATGAGCTTGGGCTTGCTGGCCAGCGTTTCAGGGCAATACAGAGTTTCTGCCTTCAGAGCACAGCTTGGCCCCTTTCTCAAGTTATCCAAACTACACAGTCCTGACAGGAGCCAAACCAGAGCCTCAGGCCCTGCTTCTGCTAATGTGTCACTTAAACTCCAAATGGAACTTCACTGCCTTCTTGGTTCATATCCTTCAAAGAAAAAATAAAACTAGCAAGTTTCTCCCATCCTATAGAACAAGAATTGTAGCAAGAACCCATCAGCCTGGTAAGTACCTCATAAGGAATAAGCAATGAACCACTAATTCCTCTGCTTATGTGCTTTACTCCTAGACAAATTCCAGTGTATAGGTAACTCCACGTTCATTAAAAGCAGGATTTTTAACCTAATCTTTGGATTGTTTCAAATAAACCAACAGGTTTCCTTCATGCTTTGCTCTTACTGCAGCTGAATCTCCTTTAAACATCAAACGAAGGAAGGAAAATACCTGGGAAGCTTTTTGTACCTGTCCATTGTTGTTCAATGGCCCTGATGTGAGCATCTGTGAATTTCCAGTAGTGTGCCAGCTTCTTCCATTCCCCAGGTTTGAGGTACTTAGTGGCTAATCTCCACATGACAGAGCGAATGTGCTGCGTTTCCAGCCTGTGGTCTTGCTTAAAGGTCAAGTGCTTTGCCACCCATGCGTTGTTGGAGTCGCTGTTCAGGTTGTCCTGCAAAGGCAGAACAGGGGGTGCTGAGAGGGTGCCTGACATTCTGCAGCCTCCCACACCCTCAGCTCTGCAGGTCGCTGCAAGTTCATTCTGGCACTTCACACTTTTTTTTTTACTCTCTTTATTCCCCTTTCACTCTGTGCTAACCAGGCCCTTTAACAAAAACTGTTAAAAGCCGGAGAAGCCCGTGTGGATCAGGATTTCCATTTCCATACTGCCTTTTATCTGGGCAGAATCATTTAATTAAATCTCCTGCTTCCCTGCAACACAGGCTCGTGTTCCCAGCCTTTACATGCCCTGCTGCAAAGAGGCTGGATGACATTCCCTAGGGCTGCATGGGAAGCCCATGGAGGGCCTGATCTACACAGCATTATTCCTGCGCCTGGGCCACAGGCATGTGCCCTCCTTTTCTTCCCCCTCTAGTGCCCTGGTATGGGAAGATGCCCAAAATCTTAAGAAGACACGAGGGATGTGGCATTTGGCTGTAATTTCAGCATGCTCTGCTCAGCTTGGTTTGGGCACAGGCCTGGGGAAAGCAGGGTTTCAGATGGCAGACGGGCTGAGCAGCTGCAGTTTGAGAGGGAAGTTGGTTCTATGACTCCACTGCTCACAGCAGGAGTTCCCTTCCACTGCTGGAAAACTCACCACGTCCCATTTGGTGACATCAGGCCAAGCATTTTCCTGCTCAGTCCTTCAATTTTTCCCAGAAAAGGGGACAAATGCTATCCCACCCCCTTCTACAGGGCTTTGGGAAGAGCTGTCAAAGAAACTTTGAAAACCTCTGTTCCTGGCAGCACAGCCTGGGATTTCTGACATCTTTTTAAATAAGGAAAGCCTTAAGTAGATGCTGTTGGCACTGTGAGGACTTCTGTTTTTCTTAAGTAAGGGGATGAAAGTCGAGGTCAGGCTGTCACAGGATGCCCTCTATTTCTTTTCCTTTGACAGTTGGTATAAGGAATCTCAATGGAGCGGATGAAGCTCTACCTGCCCTGGAAAGGGCAGGGGATGGTGTGTCAGCTGCTCACCTTTTCCCATTTGTAAAACCTGTCAGCTTTGATAATCATGTCCACCAGGTTGATGTGATTGCCTCGGGCAGCGACATCCAGAGACGTTTTCCCCTGCTGAAATTAAAAAGGGGAAAATGAGCTGGAAAAGGCCTTGCACCTTAGGAGGCACAATCTCCTTTGCAGCAGCAGGGCTACTGAGTAATGCATCCAGACAGGACCCATTCTCCACCTATAAACACTTCATGTGTGAGCTGGCTTTGATCTACTGCGTGCAGGGCGTGGGGAGTGGTTTTCTAGGCTCTGCAGCATCTCCTCTGTTGCCATAAAGGATCTGCCCATTTGGCAGGAGCAGGTGGAAAAGCTTCCCAGTGCGTCACAGGCTGCTTTCAGGCTCCCAACCACAAGAGTGCAGCCAGGAGAGCAGCTCAGCACTGCAATCCAAGGCATTTTACAGCCTTTTGCACTGCAGGTTTGCTGACACATGAAATTGAAGTGATTTACACAACTTCAGTCATTTTATAGGCTCCACATACCCATGATTAGAAACCGTCTCCTGGGAAAAGCACAGGCTGATGGGACTATGAAAATGTAACCATGCTCCTTATCTGAACGTGATTTTGGATTGGGCAGGGAGGGGATTCGTATTTCTATCTAAACTCATGGAGCAGAAAGAACGAGACATGAAAATTTCATGAAGCAAGCCAGCCCAGCCACCAGGCATGCCAGGGAGAATGGGTCTTGCCTCAGATGTGAGTAGAAACCAAATTTCACCCCGAGAAGTTTGAGTGTGTTCCCTGAGCTGGGTGTCACTGTAGTTCCACAGAGTGCTGGAAGGTGGCAAGTTCAGCCAGGTGACTTCAGGTCTGCATGTGCTCTAACCCACTGAGGATGGCAGACAGTGCTTTGTTCTCTGCCCAAGCCTCTTCAGCATTTTCTGGGCACATACCACACTTTCAGGCCACATGCAATTTACCTGATTTTTCTGGAATTCTGTTGATTTAATTAGAGGGCAAAAGCCCTGGAAACTATGCCAGATCTATATCAGATATTTTATCCTATTAAAAGATGTGTATTAAAATATTATGTATATACATAAAATATGTATATGATTCTTGGGATATATTGCTTATCATTATTTGAAATCTTTGATATTAATGTATGTGATAGCACAAGTAGAAGCAGAAGAAACTAGAACAACTTTGAGAAGGAAAAGGTTGCTCACTGTGTGAACTGTTGTCCACCTGCCTAAAAAACAGCCACTTCTTTCCCGGAAAACACATCAAAATAACCTACTCAGCAGTGTTTTAAAGCCTCATCCCTGGAAGCATCCAGATTTTAATATTACTAGCCTTTCTTGAAAATTATGAAAGACAGTGGCAAAGACCACCTATCTATATTTTTCCCTCCATACTCCCAGGGGACCTACTCAACCCACAGAGACTTTACCTTGTCCGTCAGCTTCAGGTTAACTCCGGCAATGAGAATCATCTCGGCGACGTCCTGCCTGCCGTGCTCTGCGGCGATGTGGAGCGAGCTCTGCTGCCTCTGCACAGGGAGGGAGAAAGGACTACAGTTCAGAGAAGGACAAGTGTGAGGCTGGAAAGGCAAGACAGAACATCACCAGGAGGAAATGCTGTAAGAATGCTGTCAACTCTGCCCTCCTTTCCCCTTTACCCCTTTTCAAGCTGAGGGTCAAACACCCTCCTATGTCCAGCCAGAGTTGGGTTCCTCTGGCTGAGCAGAACTGGTCTGTCCCTGCCCCAGCACCAGCATTAAGAAGCCTCCCTGATAACAGTTCAGTCTAGATAAGGCTCTCTAGGGTCACTTACAGGATTATATTATTTCCTATTATTTCAACAATTTCTGTGGGCAGGTAGTTTGGCCTCGGGAGGGAAGGACCTGTGCCAGTTCTTTGTTCCTGGGACACAGGGCTGGGTTATTGTCCCCGCTTGGGATTGTTTAATGGAAACAAGTAAAATCAAACAAAAAATGTGGCAATTTTATGCTGTCATCGGGAGGGAACATTGCTACAAGAATGAACATTAACTGAAACAAGCTACACAAAGCCCTTCATTCAGAAAATTACAATGTAGTGAGACAACCAGCTACCCCCAGGCTTGCCTCCCGTTCTCAGCCCTCCAAATGTTTTGCAGAATATCTTCCAGCTTGAAGTTTCTCCCACTTGCTTCCAACGAGGAGGAGAGGGCCTGACTGCAGCGCTGCTGTGCACAGGTCCCAGGGATGTGGCACAGCCCACGTGTTGAATGCCATCCAACAATTACCTCACCACAACACTCAGAATCATTTCACGGGCTCCACGTTTCCTAAGTTGCGCTTCCAGGTTTTCCACATTTTAAAGCATTCCTCTTTAACCCTGTCCCCAAGGTAATCAACACCCCCCCCCCCATGCAACTGGTTGACATTTCAAAGACAAAGAACAGGAGCTGCAGCCTTACATTGTCTGGAACGTCAAGGTCACAGCCTGCCTCGATGAAGAGCTTCACCATGGCCGGGAAGTTCTGCAGCACCGCGATGTGCGTCGCTGATGCATTTTGCTGTCGAAAGAAGACCCTGTGCTTAGGGAGAGCTCAGCTCATGGCACTGAAAGGACCATGCTGTGCCCAGCATGTCTTATTCTATCACAGCTGACTGGGGACACTGCACCTCTGGTCCTTGCAGAGTTGCTTGGTGCTCTTGAGCAGCTCCACAAACAGACTTTGCCCTTTTTAAGCGGTGGGAGCATTGAGAAGGACTTACATGATTAACAGCATCAGTGTGGATTCCTGCATCCATGAGGATCCTGGCTATCTCCTCGTACCCATGCAGTGCTGCGTAATGAAGGCAGTTCATCTTCTTCTGAGAGGCACCTCAAAAGAGAGGGGTGTTAGTCAGGGCTTCTTTTTAGAGGATGCAGTTGGTACAGACTATCCACAGGAAGCTCCCTGCTTCCCTCCTGCAAGAGCCCCATGGCCCCACACTGACAAATTATGGAGATTGTCTCCACATGGAAACCAGTACCAGGGGGCTTCACCTGCCTTTTTGTACAAAACCACGCCTACCTTTCTCGGGACTCCCTGCGCTGTTCCTGAGTGCTGGGCTCCACAAGGCCCTCCCTGGGAAGCCAGGCATAAACCCACCAAGTAGTGCTTGGAAATGGAATCACCTCCACGGAGCTAACCTGGGTCTGGGCATTGACATCAGCTCCTGCATCCACCAGCAGCTTCACACAGTCCCTGTGACCCCCCTCAGCAGCCAAGTGCAGAGCTGTAAGGCCTTCCTGGACAAGGCAGAAAAGGACACAGGCAGCATTTCTGTAGGCAAGGCCGAGACAGAGCAGCAGAATGAGCAAGACTCTACCCCGCCTTCTGAAGCCATGACATGTTAAGGTACCAGTTCTGAGGGTCAGGGATCAGGAATTGGAAACCCGTGACCCTCAACCATATTATCCCTTCTGAGGGTTGTAGCTCATTTCTTTACAAGAGAACAGAAACAAGCAGAATTCCTTAGTGATTTAATCTGGTTTTATTACTGCTCTTAGAACAAAGGGCAGCTCATCTGGGGGGAGACAAATGCTACCAGTTACCACAGAAGGTGGCTTCCCCTTTGTTTCAGATCTTAATCAAATACTCTTTCCAAAGACAGTAATCAAACAAGACTAAAAAAAAAAAAAAACCAAACTGATAAACTTAATTGGGAGTGTGCCCTGGCATAAATAACAGCAATACTAAGCCAATATTTGCCATCTAAATCATTAACTGTGTTCCAGCCACGTAATTTTCCAGAGCAGATCTGTCAAAAGGGAGATCTCAAACAGAAGGTCCATATGTTCAGTGACTAAGTCAATACTATAAAGCATGGAGAAGTTTAGTTTAAAACACATTCAATAACCATTTAGGCACTTGAATGTCCAAGGGTCAGGGAGAGAAAGGGAGATTAAATGGAGTGATAAGGTAGGTCAGCAGATACAGCAGGAAGAGAAGGCAATACTTTTGAGCTGGAAATTGGTCCAAGACGGATGTTGCCTTTCACTGGTACTCTTCAAGTGGCACCTGGATTTACGCACGTAGGCTTCAGATAAAGTCAGCTATTTTCTAGACCTCTGCTGTCAATACTGACTATTCAGCCTGGTGACTGTGGCAGGAATGTATTTCTAAGGAGGAAAAGGGTGAAAGTGATGTGGTTACTATTTCATTTAAATGTACTTACTGAGTTCTTTCCATCAAGGTCCACTCCAATGTCTATAATCTTCTGCAGCACGGAGAGGTGTCCATTTTTAGCAGCTAAATGCAATGCTGTGTTTTCTTCCTGAAAGTAAACATTACTTCATAAATATATGTATCACAGGACTGGTGTGTTCATACACCACAGCCTTGCACAGAGTATATGCAGTGTGTCTGAGGAGGTTGTAACCAGCAGCACGAGACTAAAGCAATCTTCTAGTAGTTGCAGCAGGGAGGGAAGAAACCCAGCTACCTTAAACTGGAGCATGGTACACCAGGCTTGCTGCATGTCCTGTCTGAAAAGCCCTGGAGAAAAATCCAGCATGGACTGAAGTGTAAATGGCTTGCAAGTGGATAGGGGAGAAAAGCCCTGACATACCATAACTATAGTTAAAACTGTGGAAACTCACATCCATGAGCCTTCTGGTATCCTGTTCCATGATTTTCACATCCATATCATTGGACTTCACTTCCCTTGTGTGTCATTTTATGCCCATACCTTGTCTTTGGCACTGTGAGAACAACCCAGTCGAATGAGGAACTCCACCACCTCCACCTTCCCATACTCTGCAGCCAGGTGGAATGCTGTCCTGTCCATCTGGGAAAGGAAACATGGAAACACAGTCCAAAAAGGCTCAGGAGGCAAAAGATCAGTTCATCTGCTGCAAGAAAGACAATAATGCCTTGGGTAATAAACTATCCCACAAAGGGCAGAAGTGCTGCAGTTATTTTTTATTCTGCTGATTTTATTCTGCGTTACATTTGGGATGACCCTAATAAAACAAGGTGAACAGAACTACCCACTGGGGCTAACAGGCATGTTGGTCTCACCAAACATTGGAAAAGAGGTCTTTTCAGTGGTTATTTCCTATAAGTAGAGGATAATAAATAATTTACTAAAAGCAACTAAGGATTAAAAAATTGACTTCATATCTAAACCCCTTTTGGGGAAAGGCAAATCTCTTGTTGATTCATTTAACTTCCAAGCATCAGAGTGGGGATCATTCTTGGGAACATGAAGGCCATGGAGCAGAAAAGAATGTGCACTAACTCCTATTCTTATGCCATCTCCAGGAACAGATCATCAGTGCTGGAACATGCTGGAAGAGGGTCACCCTTGGTTATTACTTACCTACAACACACTCAGGAGCATCGTCAGCAAGACAGTATGACACTGAAATTCCTGAATTTATTCTGCAAAAGGCAGAATTGAGAAGTCCTGGCTGCTAGAAGTTTGACCAGAGCCAGAATCCCTTTGATCCCCAAGCCCACTCTGCAGGAAAACTTCTGGGAATAGCATTTGACTCCAGGTCTCTTCCCGAGACCAAGGGCGACATCCCTGCTAAACTCAGCAGAGCAGTATCAGACCTCAAGAAACAAAGCAGTGATGAGCTTTCCTACCTTGTCTGTCTCATCCACACACACATCCTCCAGGACCTCCACGATGAACTCTATGACCTGGACGTGTCCCCTCTGAGCAGCACAGTGGAGCAAGTTCCTGCCATTCTGGAGAGGAGATAAAGGACTGCTCATTTAACGAGTCCAGCTCTGTGGGTCAGTCTCTTTTGACAACCTGCTCCTGTTAGCAAAAACCCATTTCGTGCCTCCCTGCACCTCTAGGGCTACACTCATGCTGCAGACAGCAGGTTATGATTGCAGTATTAATGCTCCTTTTCCCAACCAAGGTCTGTCTTAGAATCCACTGACTGCTGATTCACTAAACCCATCTCCCACTTCTGTAACACCTTCCACATCAGCGCTGCCCAAACACGAGCTGAGGATGCTGTGTGCATCTCTGTAGCTACAATGATTGGACTACACCTGTTTTAGGGATAAGGCAGAGTGCAGAGGGCAGTTCCCAGAGCAGGTGCTGTCACACATGACTACCCAACCACAGGTGAGTCTCTCTCTGTCCTCCAGCACTGTCTAGAGCCGTGTGATGGAGCCACACAGGGAGACTCTCACCTTGTTGACACGGTTAATCTTGGCCCCGGCGCTGATGAGGATCTGCAGGACACGGAGGTGGCCAAACCAGGCAGACAGGAGAAGAGGATTCATTCCAAACTGGGCAGAAGAGAGATACTCACAGTTAAACTGCAGCCACCACCATCCCCACCATGGAGGAAAGCCGTCCCCCTAGCTTCATGCAGTTTCCCAAATCTATTTGTTTCTCGCTGTTATTTTTTCTAGCCTCACTTTGTCCAGTTATTACTATTCCTGCCAGATATTCACAGCTCACAGATTCCACCAGCACAGATTCCTTCCCAGTCACTGTGCATGCAAGGAAAAGGCCAAAAGACAGAGCACAAAACAAGTCTCTCTCCAGCCCCTTGCTCAGCAGGTGCCATAAGCCATCCTGTGCCACCCACCCAGGGATAAGGTGATGTCTGTCACTGCTGGCCCAGTACCCCGTCCCTGGCACTCCCCCAACACCGAACACATTTGCAGGACATGCAAGGGAGAGTCGCCTTTGTACACTGTCTTCATCATCCACGGGAACGTCGTGATCCAGGAGCAGCCGCACGGCATCCGCATTCCCTGCTCCCGCGGCCCAGTGCAGGGCACTCCGGTCTGTCTGGAAGGGAAGGACAGAGGGGGAAGGCTCATGGATGCAGACTGTGTGTGTGTATCCACCAGCCCTCCTGAAGGCCAAAACCTCCTTGGCCATCCATGCAACTGGAATTTCTCACACTGTGCAGGGTCTTCTTTGGACACAACCCTCTGCCTCTCTCCTCTGCTGTCAGGCAGACAGGTGTTAGTCACCTTCCACTCAGGAACTGCAGGGCTATAACAACAGCACAGGAGTGGAGAACACTGCTGCCTATCAAGGGGCAGACTGAAACAGTAGGGATGTGTGTAATCCCATATTTCCATGAAGATATTGGTCAACAAGAAGAGACCTGCACCAGGCACTGAGTTTGTCCCACAGCCTTGGCATGCAGAGATAGCAAAATCAAAGCCTTTCGTGGCTACTGTGTGCATCTGGCACAGAGGTTACGAGGGGAGCCATAAATGATCACCCTCCCTCAGTACCTGCAGCTTTCCAGTGTGCTCAGGATGACAGTGGGGGTCTCAGTGTGTTGAGGAACTGCTTGGTGGCCATAAGCTCTATTTGGCACAGGGTGGTATATTTTAAAGCTTTGACCAATTAAGCAGCTAATGAGAAGAGTAGCATTAAGGAGCTGCAGTTCTTAAACATGCCCTCAGCACTTCCTACAGCTTAGAGGTGGAAAAACCCGGGACTTACATTGTTTTTGGCTTTGATGTCAACCCCTCTCCTGATGAGCTCCTCCATCCTGGCGGTGTCATTCCGCTTGGCTGCATCATGGAACTCCTTCTCTGACTGAAGCACTGCAGTAGAGCAGAAGAGTGAGCATTAAAATGGTGCTGGCAAGGAGCACAGGGCAGCGTGCCCCAACAAACCTCCCCTTCATCTCACCGGCCCCCGTGGCTTCGGGGAAGGGTGACTGCAAGAATATTCTCCCAGCAAGAATCCCAGTCTTACAGATGTTTGCTGGATTTGTCCTCTCACACCGTCTCTCCTTCCCTGAGTATCCCTGTGCTACATCGGTGCTCTTCCAGTCCTACTCGCTTCTCTTCTGATTCAGTGTCTTTCTCTGCATGGATTTGCTCCAGCTGCAAAACCTTTTGATCCATGAGGTCCATGTCCAGAGCCAGTGTAAAGGCTCTGACAGATCCCCCTTTCCTCCATCCTCCCACCTACATCCCACCGCTCAACAGGGAAGCCTTTACACATGGTCCTGCTGTCCCGCTCTGGGCAACCTGAACCAGCCAAGCAACACAGAACTGCCAGCCTGGCCCGTGATTAGTGTTGCATCACTTAATAAACCGTGGCAGTTCTGCACATAATTTACCACAACTGGCAGTATTTGTCCTGCACAGTTAGGCATGATTTAAGAGTGTTTACTCTCCATGCTGGGCCTTGCCCCAGCAATCTTCTCCTTGATCGAACAAACCTTCCTGCCAAGAAATAAGAGTAAAGCTGTGACTCTGGGGTTGCCACAGCCCCACAGGGAGGCTCTGAAGGTTTTTGGCAAGGCTGGTGTCAGTCTTTGTTGGACTCAGCCTCTGCCCCACTGCTTTTGGGAAATTCTTTCAAGAAGTGCTGGACTCAGACCCTCGGCCTGCAGTATCCCACCGGAGAGCTGGCCCAGAGGCTTTGCTCTCTTCCACACTTCTGCAGAGCTCAGGCTGCAGTTTGTGGGGCTCAATGCAAATTCAGGGGCTCAATGCAACTTCAGCTGGTTTCAACACATCACTAGACACTAACCACATGATATAGAAGAGGTGTCAAAACATATTGTTGTTCCCATTCCAACACATTGAGGAGACAAATAGGAGATCTGCTGCCGAAATAGCACTACCCCATTTTTCTCTTTGGAGGGCACAGAAGAAAGGCAACCCTACTGTGGACCCTAAGAGCTATAGAGGTATAAGCTCATCCTCCAATTTCCATTCCCCTTACCTCCAAATAAAAAGGAGCTCAAGAAAACCACAAATAATACAACAGGATCATTCAATAGTGTGTTTATCCACTTAACACCAGACATGATCACCTGAGACTGTGTATTCCTCAGTGTTGGACCTGCTGCTACAATTAAGGCAGTAGCATTTGGACACTGATTTCTGCAGAAACAGGATTTCCTGTACTATATATTAAGGCTCTGTTATCATCTGGTCAGGGGTGTTAACAGGATTGCATTTCCATACCACGTGGACCCTTGATTTGAGAGGCAATATCAGGAGAACTTGTGAAAAACACGTGGAGTTTTTGTTAATTATCAACACCAAGGGCAACACACATACACCTCCTTGTAAACACTACTCTGTTCAGTGGAGTAAATCCTATGTTTTAGTTAAGAAAATGCTGCTGCCCCTGCTCTCCAAGTGACAGAATTGTGTTGTTACATTTTATGGTTGCACAAAGCATCATCGCCAAGAGATGCCAAACAACCCCTTGCCTTATTTATTCTCTCCTCTACCTGTGAAGATGCAGTAACAAACCCGGCATCACCGAGGCTGTAGAAGCCACAATTTATCTGTTTTCAGCAACACATGGAAAACAATTTGATGGTCTGAGTTTCCTATTTAGGATCCACACAGCTCTGCTAGCTCTGTAAATGTAAATGCACTCCTCATCATGGCATAAACCCAGCCAACAGCAGCATTTTGGTGGATATTTGGCAGTTTTCCTCCTCTTCCAAGCTCAGATTCCAGGGTGTTTCATAGTTTGTGTTACTGAATATGAATTCAGTTATCCCAAACAGCGTGGAACACATTTTAAATTATTTGTCCTCAGTCCAATGCACTAACTCATGGGAAATTTATTATGCAAGAGATGTAAAAAAGCCGCAAAGGAGACAAAAGACATGCAAAGAAATGTGATAAAACCATCCACAGGGCTCTACCTGGAGCTGCAGGACACAAAGACAACCCAGGATGGGGACCAGGGGATAAAGGGGGCCACAACCCCCAAGGGGGGAAGGTACTGGAGTTATATCCAGCATCTGAGCAGGACAGGATGCTTTGGGGCAAAACCACGCGTAGGTTTATACACCTGCTTTGTTTCCGAACGCATTTTCGTGCATCTGGTTATTCCTCGGAGCATCCCCGCTCTGCCCCCTGAGCCACCCCGGCCCCGCGGCACGAATCCTCCCGTCACGGCCCGGCACCCCCCGCCTCGGCCCCACTCACGGGTGTCGCCCTCCGACGCCAAGTCGTCGCCCATGTCGCGACACAGCGGCCCCGCCGCGGCCGCCTCAGGGCGGGCTGACGAGGCGCGTCCCCGCCGCCTCAGAGCGGGCTGGCAGGCGCGTCCCCGCCTCCTCACGGGCCGGCCCGCAGCCGCAGAGCGCCTCTTTAGCTTCTCTTTAAAGCAAAAATAGCAGAAAATAAGCCCTCTTTCCCACAAACGCGGCCTTCTCGGGCCGTTTTGACGCGGTTGGAGGGGGGACGCGGAGCCGCCGCCATTTCGGCCAGGTGCCGCCCCTCACCTCAGCGCGGCTCTGCTGGGTGCTGCTGCTTGGAGGTGGTTTAATTAAAAATTTAATCTAACTCTCTTTCCGAAGCAATTTAGGAGGAGAGGGATTTCTGTTCTCTGGGAAATATGGAGTGGGTTGTTGCTTTTCTGCCCTGAAAGCAGGGGTCAGGGTTTGGTGTTCTCAGTAAATGAGGTGCTCTCGTTACCTCAGATCCAATAGCGAGTGCAAGAGTGGGCAAAAGGGCTTTTCCCTCAGAGTTTTAGTGAATTCTCCATTTTCAGCGCTGTGGGTACTTTCGTATTTTATTTTCTTCTCCATTTTAGTAGTATGATGAGGAAGGAACCAGGCTGAGCTGAGGCTGGGGGGAGAATCTGTTTCTGTGGGTCCCCCAGACTAATCCCCCCTGGAATACTGCATCTGGCTCTGGAGCTCCCCAACATAAGAGGGATTTGGGACTTGTGGAGTGAACTCAGAGGAGGCCATGGAGATGTTCCAAGGTCTGGAGCACCTCTGCCATGGAGACAGGCTGAGGGAGTTGGCATTGTTCCGTCTGGAGAAGAGAAGGCTCCAGGGAGACCTTATTGTAGACCTTCCAGTACCTAAAGAGGCTCCAAGAGAGCTGGAGAGAGACTTGACACGGGCCTGGAGTGATGGGACAGGAGGGAATGGCTTCAAACTGACAGGGTTAGATGAGATCTTGGGAAGGAATTCTTCCCTGTGAGGGTGGGGAGGCCCTGGCACAGGTTGCCCAGAGCAGCTGTGGCTGCCCCATCCCTGGAACTGCTCAAGGCCATGTTGGTCGGGGCTTGGAGCAATTTCATCTGGTGGAAGGTGTTCCTGCCCGTGGCAGTGGGGCGGAACGAGATGAGCATTAAGGTCCTTTCCAACCCAGTCTATGATTCTTTGCTTCTGGCCTCAGGATAGGAGAGATGACATCAGGTTTTTATTCCCTCCCTGTACCATTGTGGCCCACAGACCAGGTCCTTATCAGGGCTCCTTGGAGGAGTCTTCCCCAGCCCTCCCTCCTCTCTGTACTGCTGATTTTGTCTGGGAGCACATGCTGATGCCGGCCACCACATGAGGGTGCCAGTGCTGTTCACCTGCCATGATTTGCTACTCGAGCAGTGAACTCCAGGGTGCAGGTGGGGCTGTTCTGTGGGCTAAGGCCAGTTTTGGGAGACACCCCTGTCCTAATGACCCTTGTGAGGGTCTGTGATGCTCCTGCAAGAAAACATGGGGTGTTTGGTGCAGTGGGATATGTGGGGAGGCAAGCGATGTCCTGGAGGGATGCAGAGACCCTCTGCTGCTCCAGACATGTCTCTCTGTGGGCACAGTTACACCAGAGCAGTCTGCAGGGCAGGGAGATGGTGTTTTCCAACTCACCAAAGCCCAGCACTGAGTGTTTTGGTAACCAAAGCGTTCGCTGATGCAGTGGGACCAGGAGCCTGCCTGATTGTGAAATGGAGAGGTGGAACCAAAGCTCTTGAGCAAACACAGAATGTGTGGGGGTTTATGGGTAGCTCTCAGAGCTTTGGATTTGAGTTTTGTTTGCCTTTTATTCAAATTGAATTTAAAAAAAAAAAAAAAAAGACCCTCCCTCTGGTAGGAAAAGCGAACATAAGGTCTGTCTGGATAAAAGGGAAGCCCTTCTTTTGTACAATAGCTCAGCGGGAAGGGCATCCTCCCCGAGGAAGGGGGAAAGCTGGGGTTGATCCTTCCTTCTGCCAGAGGGGAGATACAAACCCTGGGCCACGCGAGACCCCAGAGAGCACCGTAAACAGCAGGCTGTGAGCATGTCTGGTGTGGAGAGTTTTCCTTGCTCCTTCCTGTTATTTTAAATAATTAATGATTTGATGGATCAGGGAGTGAGGAAGGCAGGTGTCCTGTCTCCCTGGAGAGCAGTCTGTGCACCCGGCAAGACGCAGCCTTGCCCTTTCTCGATGAATATTTAAGTGTCTTCAGACAAACTGGAACGGTGCCAGCAGGAATGGCTGAGAAGGGCTGAGCCCTTCCCACTGGGTATCCTAGTGCCTGGGGGCTGGGGAAACAGCCCTGAATAGGGCAGGGAATAAGAATAATCCCTGCTTGTACCGACTGTGGACGCATCCCAGCCTTAGGTGGGACCTCTGGCTGTTGCTAGTCTTTTGTTATGCTGTGAGGCATCCTTGGATGGAAAGCTGTCTGGATTTAACCTGCCACTGCTAATGTCACTGTCATTGTCTTCCAGAGCCTGAATCAGCCAGGACTGATCACCCACAGCTCTTCTGCTGCTTGATGCTGACCTTGGAAGAGAAGTAGTGCAGATGTACTGAAAGTTCGCATCTGTTTGTGAGCTTGGATGTTTCCAGCAGGCAGGAAAAAAAGCAGTGTAGGCAGTTCCTTCTGTCCTTCCCAAAGAGGTATGTGTTCAGGGGTGGAAGGGACCAAGCCTTTCTGCTGATACCGAGTACAGAATGCTGCGACGATTTATTAACGACACTGAACACTTACCTGGCAATCCGTTTATTAGCTAACAGACCTAAAAGAGCTTCTGGATTTTTCCATTAAGGCTGTGGCATAACCAGTGACAGGGGGAGGTGGTAATTTGAGCTCTTTTTGCAATATTTTTCCGACATTGACCCCATCTTCAGAATGGTGTTAAAGTCTTTGACTTTATTTCACTTGAAGGATAATTTTAGGTGAGTCAGCTACGTGCTCTTTCTCACTTAGAAGTGAAGTTCTCCAATTTTTATGTACTAGTTTAGTATAATCATTATTTTCAATCACATTCAAAAATCACCAGCCAGGCTGCTTAAATCCGTGTCATTTTAAAATGTGCCTCTGTTAGCTCTCCGGTTTAGTTGTATACACTGTGATTTTAAAGTCAGTTAGATTTGCAGTTAGCCATGTAATGCAGCCCACAAACCAGTATGTGTTTATGCAGAAACAGTTGCTTACCTAAAGGTTTAGCAAATTGGACTTTAATTTATAACCTCCCTTTGGAAGCAAAACTGGAAGGTGACTCCTCCTGCCTGCAGCTGCCTGTAGTTTGGGAAGCCAATCCTCTGCTTCCCTGGAGCTGCCCACAGCAGGGGAGCCTGACTGAGGAACAGCCTCCTCCATCCCTGGAGGATTGTCTTTTCTGGCATATGCTGCCACAGCCAGGGAGTTGAATATTGCATGGGAGAGGGAATGACCACGTTCCTCTTTCACTGCTGATGGTCTGTTTTCACACGACAGGCTGTCAAACAGCCCGATGTGCTGAGGTAGCAGCCACAGGCTCTGCCTGGCAGCACCCAAACCAGATCTCTGGGCTCTGTGGTACACAGCTGCCATTGATGCCGTGAGGAACTGTATGTTTGTGCTGCTCTATGTCCCTGCTGTGGCTGTGAAAGGGACTAACCATACCAGTTCTGAGTTGTGGCTTGCAAACTGTGCTTTCAGATGTGTCCCATTAGAATGGAATACACGTTACAGCTCTGGCTACATGGCTTCATGTGTGGCTCCAGTTTATTTATTTTTGTCTGGCCTAGGCTTTTAGTTGTTCTGTAGACTAGGTTATTTTTGGTGCTTTCTTTGATAACTCGGTTCCTGTGACATGCTGTGGAGCCAGAACTCCTCTGGGAACATACCAGCAATGCACACAAACATCAGCCCTGTAGCTTCTAACTGTCAACATACGGAGCTTTCAGAAGGCCTGGATACCTAACGGGACTCCACAAACCCACTCTGGAAGCTTGAGAAGCCATCCAGCACTTTCCTCAAAGGCTGCATTCATTTCCTTGCAAGGCTTCCACAGAGGAACAGCTTGTTAGAGGGACCTGTGGAGCTTGGAAGCTCTGCCAGTAATAATTCAGGCCCAATTTTGAAGTCAAATATTTAGCTAAACAGAGACTGTCTGATGACTGGATTAAACACAGACTGCATCTGAGTGAGCTCAACACTTCAGGTTTTTGTCAGTGTCCATTTCATGAGCCTATAATTCCATTTTTCCTGTCTTCCCAGACTCTGCTCATCCTGTGTAGTGTTTCAGACTGCACAGAATGGGGTATTTCAGCAGAGCTGCCGCTCCTAGCCCAGAAAGCAGCCTGAATCACAAAGTGATGTTCTCTGCTTTAGGCTTAGGAGTAATCCAGTATTATGGGATTGGGAGGAAATCACATTGGAGAAACGGGAGGGTTTGTTTGTTTGTTTGTTTGTTTGTGAGAAAAAGTCTGAAGGAAGCCAGAGATGTCAGAGAGGGTTGGTGAGTGAGCCTTGCCCTGGGAGATTCTGCTGCATGGTGTTGACACAGATAATTCAGTCCATGTAACTGGAGGTTTCAGCTGGTGATTTTGCACTTCCCACTCCAGTCACTCTCACTTCCCAAAGCCGATAGGCCTTTAAATCCCTTGAAAAGATAAATGGGCTTAAGCGTCTATGTAGCTCTGAAAGTGAAGCTTACATGTAATTAGCACTGTGGCCGGGGTTGTTCCTGGCTGTCAGGTCACTCCTGTTGATCCCTGACCTCCACACAGAGCTTACTGACACGAGTGCACTATATCTTCCAACCTGGTATATCCTTCCATCTGCAGAGAACTGGGCTCACATCTGTCCTGCAGGAACACATGAGAAGCAAAAAAATACCTGCCCAGTACCATGTGTGCCTGAATGATATCTTAGAAAACACTGTAGGGAGGGGGATATTTGTTATATCTGTGATGCTTTGCTGAAGGACATCAATATTAGCCCATTGTGTTCAAACCCTCTTAATGCCTGAGTCCCAGGTCTGACCAGTAGTTGGGAGATTACTGATGTGACAGCCTCTGTCTCACGGTGCTGATCAGTTCACAGTGGTCATTCAGTGTTTTGAACCGTTTGCTTTACTGGAATCATGGAGGCTGGTCTTTCAAAGCTGGGAATGCACCACCAGTATGCTCTTAAAAATCTACTATGTGACCAAAAGTAAATGGATCAGGGAAAGATCTAAAGGGCAAAATATTCCTTCTCGAGTTTAAGAAGAGAAGTGGTGAGATGGAGCCGGGGTCCTGGCCCTCCCTGGTTTGGATGTGATGGTTAACTGAGCAAGTGTTTGGTTATGGGAGGTGGGAACGGCTGCCTTGTATAAACCAAGCAATAATCAGACACTGAATCCTAATCCCCTCACTGACATGCCTGCAGGCAATGTTTTTATTCTCACTTTCCTGCATGTGTAAAAAGAGGGAGGATCCTCTGCTTCCTGGGCCTCTGAGGACTGTCTGGCTCCTAAAGGCAGTCTCTTCCCTGCTCTTTACGGGACAAAAGTGCGGCTGAAATGTAGGATCTTATAATCATAAACCCAAAGTGCTGATACCTACTGCCAGAGGCATAGCCCTGGGCTGCTCTTATGCTGCACTGCAGGACTCGATGCAAAACCTGAAGCAAAACAGAAAATTGTGTTTGAGGATTTAATAAAAGCAAAGAGGAAGCAAAGGGTTGCTCAGCTGTGATGCCGTCACTGCTTTCTTCTCTGACCCCATGGAAAACTGTGGAGTGCAACGGGAGCAGGCAAGCACACTGTTAGGAGGCAGCAGTGCAGCTTTGGAAGTGTTTCATTTCTCTCTCTCAGCAGTTTTCTTCCAGAGCTCAAAACATCTGTCTCTCCTCCAGCCACATGCAAGTGCACCGAGAGCATTTTGTTCCAAGCCTAATGAGTAATTTTATGGTCTTGGAATTGGAGAGAGGGAGAGGGGGCTGGGACAGCAGACGGAGTCATGTGCTCTGTAAGGAGTTCTGCTGATGTCAAATCACAGCCTGATGACTTTTATTTTATTGCAGCCCACCAGGCTTCCCTTTAAAGTCCGCTCCTAGAGTTGCTGGTGATCAGTGCAGGAACAGCTCCAACACAGGCTGCTGCATTCCAGGGGCTTCCTCACTGCTGGGCACAACAAGCAACAGGGAAAATAATGACATCAGTGGAGAGGGGAGGTGGGGGAGCTCAGCTGGGCGTCAGCTCTGCTCTGTGTGCAGAGGGAGCACACGTGAGTGCAGAAAGCACTTTGCCTGTCCCGCCCCTGCCTTCAGTGCTCAGGAGGGATGAGAGAACAAACAACCCCAGGCAGATGTGTAATCACACCACTCGAGTGTCGAGCAGATGGTGCTGAAATGTGGGGGTGCACGTGGTCTGTGAACAGGTACAGAATGAGCTTATTCAGATTGTAGCTGGTCTAGGCAGCGTTTTAAAAGCACAACCCCAGCTTTCTCTTGGAGAAGCACAGTTATCTGTGGGGAGAGATAATCTGTACACAGCACAGGAAACAGAAGGCAGATGTTGTCATATGTTTGTCATATATTTCCACTGTGGGGTCTTCCTTTGGGAGAGGCTCGCAGATCCCAGGCCCCGGAGCAGGACTTGCACAGCTCCACGGACACACCACGCTCTGTTTGGCAGGGGCAGAAGAATATACAGCGCTCTTCCTCCACCTGCCCAGGTTCTCCTGGTCTGAAGAGCAGGTTTATATTCACTCACTGTGACTCAGCTGTAGAGTCTGACTCATTTTCTTGCTGTTACTCATAGAAAAGGAAAGCCAAATGGTAACCAGTCTGTGCCTGTAGCCACCTGTAATTCTGCAGCTTTCTGCTGTTAATCTTTGGATGAGTTTGTTGGCACTAACACACTTATCCTGCTGAAACTTTTAATTCTTCTCTCTACAGAGAAAGACTGATTAGAAAATAAAGTTTTCTACCCCTAAAGCTAGGAGGAGGTGTGCTGAATCTCCATGGCTGCTTGTGGAGTTCCTCAAATGGGACTCTTTCAAGCAGACACTTCACAGGGGTAGCACCGGGCTGGGACCAGATGGAGCAACCACCAGGTAGAACTGGGAATGGCTTTTCAGAGCCTCTGCAGCTCCTGAGCTGACCTGTGTGGTCTGGAGGAGGTTGCTGGTGGTCTGTCTCTTAAAGGTGCTCAGTGCTAAGAGATTCTGCTTATTGATGACCAGAAATCTGTCTCACCAACTGTCTTCCCACTGGAATAGGACCTGAACTGTTTGGGCTTCTGTGGGTTGCCAGTCCTCCGAGGAAGGGATGGTGGTGTACTTTGTGTAAGCCTTTGTTGCACTGCCAGCTCAGGAGTCTCTGCCCCCTTCAGACCTGGCTGTTGCTCATTTGCACATATTTTGTCTGCTCATCAGGGTTCAGGGAAGCACCAGGCCCTGGCTCCTTCTCTTGCAGCATGATGGGTGGCTTACTCTGTGCTAGAGACTGCAGGAACATGAGTCAGAGTTGAAAACCTCACTCAAGATTGGGATAGGGAGGCTTTAGCTGTGAGGTGGGAACCAGTGCCTGCCACCACAGCTGGGCCAGGCCCAGCCTTTCCCATTTCAGCCTCATTCCATGTCAAAACCACAGTGCAGCCCTTCCTGCACTGCACAGGAGAGCACAGTGCAAAACTCCAGGTGGG